GTACCCCTTTGCCAGGCCCCCCCCCCCAGCCCGGTGCCCCGACCCACCATCTTGGTGCGCTGCATGCACTCCATAAAGTCCTCGTACTCGGGCTGGCACTCTCGGCGGGCGCGGGTCTGGCCCAGCCCGTGCCCGCACTCCACCCACTCGCGCTCGAAGGCGTGGCACACGGCGGCCCTGCGGTTGGGCTGCGGCATGCTCTGCCGCAGCAGCCAGCTGTCCACATCGATGCCCAGCTGCTTCTGCAGGTCCCAGAAGGGCATGGCTACGCGCTCCGCTGCTGTCGTGACACAACTCCTGTCGCGACACCCCCAGCCCCCCCACGGCCCGTCCTTCACCGGCCCCGCGCGACGCCGATGCCGCCAAGCGCGCCTCGCAGCGCGACACCGCGTTGCGCCTTACGGCCGGGGGGGTGGGAGGGGACAGAGTGGAGAGGCGGGAGCGGCGCCCCCCGCGCTGCGGCGCCCCCTGGCGGGGCGGAGGATACGCCGAGCGCCGCGCCCCAGCGCCCCCTGGCGGCCGCGCTCGAGGATTCCCAGTGCTCCCAGTGTCCTTCCAGTGCCCTCCCAGTGTCCTCCCAGTGTCTTCCCAGTGTCCTCTCAGTGCCCTCTCAGGGCTCCCAGTGTCCCCCTAGGGCTCCCAGTGCCCCCCAGTTCTCCCAGTCCCTGGCTCTCTGCTCTCAGAGGGGCTTTCCTGTGCAGGACCCCCCGCACACACCCCAGGACAGGAGCCTTCCTTAGGGCCGAGGGGACCTCAGGAACCTGGCAGATGGCTCTTCCCTGCAGTGACCCCCACATCCTGAACCCACCCCCTATTTCTGTGCCCCCCCAAAATCGCAGGGGTTGCTCTGAGTGTCTGGACAAGGCTTGGGTGAACAGCCCCACCCTCCCTAATGAGCAAAACCTCATCAAAACGCTGATTGCGGGGGGATTCTGAGCAGGGTGTGGAGGTGAAGCCGGGGGCTACCTCACCCACCCCCCGTTATTACCATCCCTCTTAAAACAAGAGCCCAGACCTGCTGGGCACCCCCCGCCCACCTGCCAAACACACTCCACACGAGCTGGAGGAGCAGGATTTATGGGGCAGGATCCATGGGACAGGATTTACTTGGAAGTTCCCAGTGCAGTGCCAGGGGGGAGTGCCGGGGGCAGGAGGGCACCTCCTTCCCCCTGGTGCTGCCAGGGGACCTTTCCCACCGTGGGACCTTTCCCTCCTCCAGCACAGCCAGGGGACCTTTCCCCCACCAAGGCACGTTTCCCACTGCAGGACCTTTTTCCTCCTGGTACCACCCCAGACCCGTCCCCTCCATGGGTCCTCCCCGCCCCGTGCCATCCCTGCTCAGATGATGCCGGTAGGAGCGAAGACCGGGGGGACACAGAGGGTCTCTGCCATCTCCCAGCCGCAGGACAGGGGGGTGCAGAGGCTCTCACGCTCGTCTTCCGCCTGGGGGGGCTTTCCCTGGAAGAGCTGGACGGCCTTCCTGCAAGTGGGAGACACCCGAGGGGGAGCAAGGAAGGGGGAAGGAGCAGCCCCCTTTGTGAACAGGGTGGGTCCAGGCAAGGGGGAATCTCCGGGGTTCTCACATCCCCCCCCAAAACAGAACAACAGCCAGAGGTGATGCTCCCCGTGGCTCCCCCAGCCCCGTCCCCCCCCCACTCTGAGCGTCTCTTACCAGGCCACGCGGGACATGGCGTAGGTGACGTGTGGCTGGGGACGCCCCCCGAGCTGGGGCGAGGCTGGCACGGTGTAGGCCCCCATGTCCCCGAAGAGCAGCCAGTCCCCGACGTGCAGCTGGGGCAGCTCCAGCCCGTCGGCGATGCGATCCTCGGCGCGCCCGGGGGGGCCCCTGAGGCTGCTGCTGCGGGAGGGGCGCTCCGGGCAGGGTCTCTGGGGCGGGAAGGAGAGCAGCCACGGGGGGGGGGGTGACGATGTCCCATCGTCACAGTGAGCTGTTCCACCTCCACCCACCACGAAGGTCCAACCCTTGGGAGCCCACGGACCGGCCACGGCTTCCCCATGGGCTGCTCCTCCCCCTGTGGCATGAGGTGATGCCACACAGCGAGAGGGAACCCCCCCAGGGTCGGGCAAACCCCTCTCACCCTGTGCAGCCGAGGCCTGGGGCAGGGGCTGTCGAACAGGAGGCAGCTGAAGGTGCCGTAGATGCCGTCGTTGAGGTGATACACGAGGCTCTTCCTGCTGCCCGACTCCTCCTCTGGAAGGCGAGCAAGGAGAGGGCTCAGAGGGTGGATCAGGCACACAGGTGGGCCTGTCCCACTGTCCCACCTACCATCAGAGCCAGGCTGCTCCACGGGGACCTCTTCCAGGGCGGCGATGCTGACAGCGAAGGTGAAGGCTGAGGTGACGTAGTACCGGCCCGGTCTGGCCACGACCTCCACCCCGGAGCCGTCCGGGAAGTACAAATCCAAGGCAGAGTTCACCACGGCAGCAATCTGAGTGGGAGGAAGAGGTGCCCTCTCGGTTAGAGGGATTCCACGGCGAGCCAGAGCCAGGGATGGCCTCCAGCCTCGCTCTGTGCCTGCCGGGGGCAGGTGCTGGGGGCTGTGGTACCTCCTCGAAGCGGGCTCTGGTGTCCTCAGTGCCGGGGAAGCCCCCGCCGATGTCCAGGAGGTGCATCTGGTAGCCCAGCTCCGTGCCCATGTCAAACACCAGCTGTGCTGCAGCCACGGCCTCGGCAAAGGCCTGGGGCTCCAGGCCACGGCTGCCAAGGTGGAAGCTGCGGGCACAGACCCCATTTCAGCAGGGTCTGACTGTCCCCAGGGAGTGACAGCACTGGGATTGTCACCCACTGGTGGCAGCTCTGTGTTTCCCGCACGCCACCCCAAGCCAGACCACCTGGACAGACCCACAGAGCCCCAAAAAGCCTTTCTTAGGGTCAAACCTGCCCCAAACTGGCTCCAACAAGGTGAATCCCTGCAAATCCCCACCTTCACCTCGCTCCCACCCACAGCAGCTGATGGCTCCCAGGAGCACTGCGTTGTTCCAGCCTGGCAGAGCTCCCCACATCCTGATCCACAGGGGCTGAGCACCCCTCTGGAAGAAGAACCACGTGCTGTACCTGATGCCAACCACCTCCACAGCCTGCTCCTTGGCAGCCTCCAGCAGGTGCCGGCAGGATTCGAGCGTGGTCCCAAACGTCATGCTCGGGTGGACAGAAGGGCTGGAGTCAGCAGTGATCCCCAACAACATCCTGCACAGCAAAGCCACACTGTGTTGGGGGGGTTTGGAATCACAGGGCCACGGGATCGTTAAGGCCAAGAAAGCCCCTCTAAGATCACCAAGTCCAATCATTAACCCAGCACTGCCAAGCCCACCGCTAACCCGTTTCTCCAAGTGCCACATCTACATGTTTTTTTTAACATTTCTGGGGATAGCAATTCCACCACTTCCCTGGGCAACCTGTTGCAATGCCTGACCACCCTTTCAGTGATCAAGTTTTTTTCCAAATATCCAATCTAAACCTCCCCTGGCACAGCTTGAGGCTGCTTCCTCTTGCATTATCGCTTGTCACCCGGGAGAAGGGTCTGACACCAACCTTCTACAACCTCCTCTTCAGCCCCTGTAGCACCCAACAGCCCCCTGCCCAGCTCCTCCTCCAGCTGCCCCTCCACTGGTGCTGCCAGACACCCACCTGGCACGGGGGTGGCTCCTGGCCACCTTGCTCAGCTCCACCTCGTTGTCGAACGTCATCAGCTGCACGCCGTGCTTGGCCGCGTACCTGATGTGGGCAACCTGCTTGCAGGGGCTGCTGTAGAAGATCCTGTCAGCTGGCACTCCAATGCCTTGAACCCGGGTGATCTCAGCCTGCAGGGACATGGAACACACACACAGGAAGGTCCTCGTGGCCACCACCAGCCCTGGGGCTTGTCCAGCCTGCAGCGCTGGGGAGGGCAGAGAGCCAGCCTTGCTGCCTGGGCTTTTCCAAGGAAAAGCTCCAGGAGCTCCAAGGGATCACAGTGGGCTTTGTCCTGGCAAGGACAGGCTGTGGTAAGGTGTTTAAAGCAGCCTGGGACCAGGAGAGGAAACAGGTGGGTTTAGCAGGCGTAGGGTTGGCACGTGACCCCTGATCTGAGCTGTGACAACTCTTGCGCTTTCCCTCCCTGGAAACACATCTTATTTAATTATATAGGGGTAAGTGGCTTAATTTGGCTCCTCCCTGGAAATCTGGCTATTGCAAATGATGATGAGGAGGGAGCAGGGAGCTTTAGGCTCAGCCTTCAAGACACCAAGAGCTGGTTGGCCATGTCTGCCAGCCAGGATACCAGCTCCAGAGACAGGAATGCTGGTCAGAGGGAACAAGCCTGAGTTACCAGACAGAGGACAGGGATTTATGGGCTGTGCCAATAGATGTTGACAGCAGAGGGAGACTCCTGCCCCTGTAAATGTCACCTAGAGAGTGGAGACTTAGGAAAGGAGGGTGAGCTCTGCCACCCTCCCACAAATGCTTTGTAGGATGCTGGCTTGGAGCTGTCCTCCCACATCCTTACCTTGTTGGCACAGGCAAAGCCTGCCCCCAGCTCTGCCAGCAGCCGAATCACTCCTTCACTGCCGTTGCATTTAACTGGGAAATAGGGTTTCACCCGGGGCAGGGCCTTCAGGAAACGCAGGTGCTTCTTCACGACATCCCCAAGGTCTGCCACGAAGAAGGCTTGCTGGTCGCTCTAGGGGAGAGCTGGAGTAAGTAGGAGCTTCCAGGAGTGTCCCTTCCAAGGGGGGAGGCGGAGAAGCAGCCCTTACCTCCTGGCACAGCTCCCCGAGGAGGTTCTCCAGGAGGTCTCTGGTGGTGAATCCCTCCTCCACCATCAGGAAATCGGATTCACTCAGGTACCCGTTCATGGTGGGATGTGATGACGGTCCTTTAAAGCCTCCTTGAGTAGGGCACAGATTCTAAGTAAGCAACACACTGGAAAAAGAAGGAATAGTAAGGGCAGGGTCCAGAAGCATCACCAGCACCCACGGGTGCTCCCCACCCATCCCTCCCATGGCAGAGCTGCCCTGGGCAGAGCTCTGTGCTGCTCTGCTCCAAACCAGCGCCTCAGCAGAGCTCTGGTGTGGGTTAAAGCATCTTGTTTTGGGGGAGGAGACACATTTCTCTGCAGCTCAGAGCTGTGTTTTGGCACACAGCAGCCTCCTCTCCATCAGCAGCAGTCTGGGCACCAGCACAGTCAACAACAAAGCCAACTGCACCGCAAAGGGGATGGAGGCCTTTATGTGCCAGGACGTGTCCCTTCACGCTCGGGAACGTAGCTGGATCTGCTGTGGTGACGATCCCTTATGGTTTCTATTCCCATGGACCCGTTTTCCCAGGCACACAAGCCCCAGGAAAACAGAGGCAGAGCACAGGCCCCTCTCTGACAGTGCCCGACCTGAGGACAGTCTGGATCCCTGCTGTGGCTCCTTCATGACACAAGGTGTGTGGAACCAGGGGACAGTCAAGCTGCACAGGGTTTGCTGGCTTGTCCTAGCAGAGCTTTAGCTTTAACAATCTCCTGCCCTGGATCCAGCCTGTCCCATAACCCGGACAGCTGACAACATAGCAGGGAACACTTCCACTCTGATAATCCAGATCTAGCTCCAGGGCCCTTACAGGAACATGGTCTCTCTGATCTGAAGGGAGCAGGAGACAGAGGTTTCACTTCTCAGAGCTGCACAGCAACTCCTCCCCCCAGAGATCCACTGACAACATTTTGTGAGAGGCACTGGGAGAAAGACCACGCTGACCCCGGAGCAGCAGGATGTTGCAATGCATTGAGCAAGCCCCACCAGCAAATTCCAGAGCTGGGGAATGAGGTGAAAAAACATGTTTTTAAAGCTCTTAGAGCCTCACACTCAGGAAGGGAGAGCAACTCCTCCAGCTTTACCCTTCACATCCCATCACCAAGCAGCACCCGGAACACCGGGATGGGGCAGGGAAGCAGCAAAGTGGGTCATTCCCATCAGAACATGTGCCCCAGCCTCGGACATCCCCTCCTTACCACGGCCCAGTTCTCCCTCCCAGGTGCTCAGAGGTGCTGTCAGGGGGGCTCCCCGAGGAATGCAGGGCTCCCACAGCACCCCGAGGTGTGGCTGCTGCTGCTGGGGGTCCGAGGGCTCTGGGGAGAAGCAGTGACAGGGGTTAGAGAGGGAGAGGGGCACTGACAGCACCCTCCAACCCCCCATTCCCAAAACTCAGCAGCCACAGGCACCCCTCACCAGCCCCCTCCTCGCTGTGCCAGGCAAGACATTTCCCCCCAGAGCCCCTCCCGAGCCCCTTTACCTCAGAAAGCATTTAAACAGGTCCTGTCATGGGTCTCCTGAGAGAATGAAGCGGCCCCAGCAGTGGCTGTTTGTCCTGCCCCAGCTCCCTGCCCACCCCCAGCCCCTGCAGAGGATGGGGGGGCCCTGCACCCCTTCCCTCCCAGCGCTCCCTCCCTGCTCTGCCTCCCAACCGTAGCCATGACAACCAAATCCAGCCACCCTATTGGCTGAGCTGCCTCCGAGCATCCTGCATCCCTCTTGGAGAACACTCCCCCACCTCGCCCACCCCCTGCCAGGGCTGGGGCTGCCCCCCAGGAGTCACCCAGTCCAGCTCACCCTCAGCCCAGCCCTGCTGTGAGGCCACCTCACGCGGCTGCACATCCTCTGCACGGGGACCCTCGGGGAGGAAGAGAGCCCAAAATACCTCTGAAATGCTGCTGCCAGGGAAACTAGGCTCCCTGCAGTGCCTGTCAGGCTGGGACTCCGGCAGGAGTAGTCAGGAAGATGTCAGGGGCTGATCCTACCCTTGCTGAGGTGCTGCCGGTTTTGCTGGGTTCCCCGGCAGAAGGGGCCTCATCTGGTCCATCAGTGCTGTCTTTGCTGCATTTGGAAATGGTTGCACTGCTCCATCCCACAGCCAGCCAGGGCTGAGTAGGGATTTTTTTTTAATTATTTTTTCTTGCTGATTTGCAGGTCCCTCCTTGGTGCTGCTGAGGAGCCAACGTTTTATGTGTGGAGGGGTCACTGCCCCCACTGAGGAGGTGAGAGGGGCAGACTTATCCTGCGTTTCTGTATTACACACTGTGGTCTTGGCTTTGCCACAGACTCTCCTGGCAACCAGGACCAAGGAAGTTCTTGTCTCCTGTGAAATCCTGGTGTGTTTTCCGGGTGCTCTGGCCTGGCACCAGTCCTGGACTGCACTGCGTGGGCTGTGGGGAGCCACGCAGAGAACACTGCACTGAGGGGAGAGCAGAGGGTTGCAGAGCACTGCAGTGCCAGTCCCTGCTGGGTGTGCCAGGCAGTGTCGTGACGCACAGCCCACGCAGAGCAGGGCGCTGAGCCCAGCCCACGCTGAGCCCACGCAGCGCCAGGGCGAGCAGAGCTCAGAACCACAGAGTCACAGAAGGAATTAGGTTGAAAAAGACCTCTGAGATCATCAAGTCCAACCTTTGGCCTAACCTAGACCATGGCACTGAGTGCCACATCGTGTGTCTTCCTAAACACCCTGAAGGATGGGGACTCCACCTCTTTCCCGGGCAGCCCATTCCAATGTCCAATCACTCTCCATGTAAAGAACTTCTTCCTAATGCCCAACCTAAACCTCCTCTGGTGCAGCTTAAGACTACTCATCTTTTCCTGTCACTAATTGCCTGGTGGCAGAGCCCGACCCGCACCTGGCAACACCCTCTTATTAGGGAGTTGTGAAAGAGCGAGAAGCTCCCCCCTGAGCCTCCTCCTGGGCTCGCTCCAGCCCCAAAATGCCAATCTTGGACTGAGGAGCCCAGAACCGGACACGGCGCCCGGTACCGGGACACGGCCCGGAGCCACGCGGCTCCACAGCCCCGCCCACCGCCGGTTAACCCCGCCCACATCCACATAACCCCGCCCACTCCATTTAAACCCCATAGAGCCGTTATGGGTGTGGCTGCACCCTCATATGCATATCCCCGCCCCCTCGGTGCGGCCCCGCCCCCCGGCGCGAGGCAGGCGCGCAGTCGGCGGCGGCCATGGCTCCGAGCGCTCCGGCCGGGCAGGGCCCGGCACCGGCCCCGGCCTCAGCCCCGGCCCCGGGGCTCCGCCACGGCATCCGCGCCGTGCTGCTGGGCCCGCCCGGCGCCGGCAAGGGCACGCAGGTGAGCGGGGATGCGCGGCGGGGGCATCCCTTCCCCTTGTGAAGCGAGGGACCGGCCCGCCCGGCCTTTCCCCGCGTGGGGCCGCCGCGTGGGCCTCGCTGAGGGGGTGCGGCGTGTGCGGGGTGTCCCGCTCCGCGGGGGCCTCGCTTAACCCGCAGGGTGGGGGGGTTCGGCGGTAAACCCGCCTCCAGGGGCCCTTCGTCCCGGATCCCTTTGTCCCGGAGCGGGGCCGGCCCGCTGGGTCCCGGTGTCCTGGCCCCGCTCCCGGAGCGCTCGGGGGGGGCTTCGCGCCGGGCCCTGCCACGTGCTGGCGGTTCACTGATCGCCCCGGTGCTGCCACAGGGGACGAGGCCCCACCTGGTCCACCCCAGCCCCGGCTGAGCCTCCCCACGCCGGCCACCCCGAGGTCCCATGCCCGCACTGCTCACCGCTGTCCGTTCTCTCCCGCAGGCTCCCAAGCTCGCCGAGACCTACTGCGTGTGCCACCTGGCTACCGGCGACATGCTGCGGGCCATGGTGGCCTCGGGCTCCGAGCTGGGCAAGCGGATCAAGGAGACCATGGATGCTGGGAAGCTGGTGGGTCGTAGGGGGATGCGCTGGGAGGGGGAGATGGGCTGGCAGCACCTGGAATGAGAGCAGAGAAAATCCGCCTCCTGTTAAGAATTCCCAGTGACAAAACTAATTAGTATGTGAAGGCAGGGGTGGAGGTTTACTTTCTGTTGTCCTGCAGGAGAAACATCCTATAAAAACATCTTTCCTCTTCAGAGTTGCTCTTTGCTTACCAGCAGCCTGTTGTCCCTGGGGTAGTTCTTGCTTTCATGCTCATAGGGTGGGTTCTGCCTGGCTTCTGAGCACTGTTTGAGGTGAAGGTGTATCCTTGGAGCTGCAGGATGTTGCAGCCGTGCTTTGCTGCTCCTGCCTCTCCTCCACATGGTACCTGGACTCCAGGTATCACTTCAGAGGGTTTATCTGCATCCCAGCTCTTGCATAAGTGGTGAAAATAAACTTAAAGGTGTTGCTGTGACAGTTGCAGCAGGTGCTGAGTGAGAGAGGCACTTTGGGTCCCCCAGAGGCAGGAGTTAGAATCTCTGACATTCACTTTAGGAGGGTCTAATTATCTCCTCAGAAGGACTGAACTATCTCAGGGAGACTCGAGGAACCACAAATTGCAGCGCCTTGCCCCGGTGTGGGGCAGATCTCGGGCATCTCTGCGGCTGTCACGGGCTCGTAACACCCTGGGGGAGCCTCTGCAGGCCCCAGATGGGGAGAGTGACGTGGCTTATCTCAGCTCCTGCCCAGAGCTCATTGCAACACCCGGCTGGTTATGAAAGATAGGGGTGTTATCTGGTGGGACTGGTGGTATCAGCCACGTGTGTGTGTGTGTGTGTGTTCCAGGCTGCTCCACGGGGACACCCCCCAGCTCTGTGCTCTGGCTCTGTGATAACTCAGCTGGGAGCACAGCAGTTTGGGGTGGGTTTGTGCTCAGGGGCTGTTTCTCTGGAGGGTGTAATCAGGAAAGCACAGAAGTGACTTGTTGCTTCACCCAGACTTCCCCCCCGCCATCCCTGCCTGTGGGGGGGTGTTGTTTGTGTGTTGTGACAGCCTGGTTCCCAAATCCTGCTGGGTCCCAGCTGTGTGTGCTGGAGAAAACAGCGCTGCTGAGGAGAGCTGCTCCCAAATAAACAGCTATTGTTGGGGCTGCAGCATCTGTTAGTGCTGCAGTGTGGAAAAGGCACTAATCCCGGCGGTATGCCGAGATTGTTGGATGGGAAAAAAAACTATCCAGCGAAGCCAGAGCTTGTCAGCAACTACTGGGTCTTTACCTTCACACAAGGTTTATGGGAGTCAATGAGCAACTTGCCTGCTCTGCCCTTCCTGCCTCCCGAGGGGGATGTGTGGGTGAAGGTACAAAGTAACAGGAAATCAAGGTTGTGTCGAAATTTTCTGGTGTGAGTTGGTTTTGAAAAAAAAAAAAAAAAAAGGAAAGAAATAATCTCAGGAGTTTGTCTTCGAGCTGACAGTCTTCCTTGAAATACAGCAACCTTTGTAACAGCAAGGTTACAGCACTGGTCCAAGTCCCTGGCAGGCTGCTGCCTCTGGCTTCAGGAAGGGCCTGAAGCAGCCTGGGCACTGACATGGATCACAGAGTCATGGAATATCCTGAGTTGGAAGGAACCCACCAGGATTTATAGAGTTCAACCCCTGGCCCTGCACGGGACAACCCCAAAAGTCCCACTGTGAGTGCAGCAGCTCTGGAGGCAGCTGTGTGTGAGTACAGGGTGTCCCTCCTGACCACGGGCATCTCCCCTCTCTGCAGGTGAGCGATGAGATGGTGGTGGAGCTGATTGAGAACAACCTGGACTCCCCTCCCTGCAAGAACGGGTTCCTGCTGGATGGCTTCCCCCGCACGGTGAAGCAGGCGGAGATGGTACGTGAGACCCTGCTCAGGGACTGCTCTGGCACCTCCTCCCCTGCAGGCAGGGGTCCCTGGGCCCTCAGCCCCTCTGAGGTGGGTGTTTTTGCTCTTTGCAGCTGGATGAGCTCCTGGAGAAGAGGAGGGAGAAGCTCGACTCGGTCATTGAGTTCAGCGTCCCTGACTCCTTGCTGATCCGGAGGATCACTGGACGGTAACGCTTCTCTCCCAGGTGCTCGGTGCACGGGTTGAGGTTTCCTAGTCTAGGGAATGGCATCCTGATTTCAGAGCCCAGGTTGTCCTCACAGTGCTTAGGGCTGGCCTCTGTTAGATTTCTGCCATGATCCCTTGCCTGTTCTCCCACGGCTCGACCAGCCTTGAGCAGAGCCCCTCCCTCGCCTTATAAATTAAGGATTACTGATAGGAATCAGCATCCTTGGTGCCCCCAGCTCAGCCTTTAAGGTCTTCCTTCTCCAAAGTTATTGTTGCTCCCTTAGGCAGGACACTGCACACTCTTGGGCGCTGGTGAACTTACTGTCTAAGGTCAGATGTGTTTTCTGCTGTGCTGTGTCACCCTCACGCCTCCAGGAGCCAGATCCCCTTCCCCAGCAGAGCAGGAAGTAAAAATCCCTTCTCCATCTCCTGCTTGCAGCTGCTTTTCCAAACTGAAGAGGCCCTTGGTACAGAAATAACTGCAGAGAATTTTCTTGCAAGTGGAAGGCAAATCGAGTTGCTGTGGCAGATGTTTCTGTGCTGATGAGTGGCAGGTTCAGGAGACCTTGTCCTCTGCTTTGCTGACACTGATTTTCTGTCTCAGGCTGATTCACCCAGCGAGTGGCCGCTCGTATCACGAGGAGTTCAGACCCCCGAAAGAGCCCATGAAGGACGATGTATGTGAGCTCCCAGGGCCCACAGCTTGCCTTGCTTTGGGTTTAGCTGATGCTTTGCAGTCTCCCTGGAGAAAAAGAACTCATTTCTTTCCTTCTCTTGTACCTTCTGTCCTGGCTTTCTGGGGAGCGTGGGGAACTGCTTGGGCAGCCTGAGCCGACGGCACTGCGGGGAGCAAGGCCTGGAGGGATGGATGAAGGGATGGATGTGCTGCAGAGCTGGCCCGGGCTCTGCCAGCCTCAGAACTTGTTGGACTCTGTCCACAGCTGAAGTTGCGGTGGGTTGTGACTGGTTTCCATCCTGGGGAGCAACTGTAGCTGGTGCCTGCTCTCGGGGCTCCTAGAGCGCTGTGTGGGGGAACGACCACAGTGCTGAACCCTCCTCTCTTCAGTGACCGCTCTGGGATCTGTTTTGGCTGCCCCGGGTTCTCTCTGTCTCCCCTGCAGACCTGGGGGTCTCCTCTGCAGCTCCGCGTTTAGCCCAGCCTGGAGGAAGGGGAGCCTGGAGGTTGTGGGGGCTGTGGAGAGAAGGGTGGGGGGAAGCGTGCCAGGCTGCAGCGAGCTGGAGACTGTCCCCTTGCTTCTCCCAGGTCACTGGAGAGCCCCTGATCCGCCGCTCCGACGATAACGAAACCGCCCTGAAAACCCGCCTGAAGTCCTATCACACCCAGACCTCTCCCCTGATCTCCTACTACAGCAAGAGGGGGATCCACACGGCCGTGGATGCCTCCCAGTCTCCTGACGTGGTGTTTGCCAGCATCCTGGCAGCCTTCTCGAAAGCAACATGTAAAGACCTGGTTATGTTCATTTAGGGCTCCGTCCCAGCACGGGGCTCTGCTTTCTCTCTCTCTTTCTCCCTCTGTCTCTCTGTCTCTGTGTCTCTGGGGCCAGGGAGGGTGAAGAGCTGAGCAGGTAGAAGAGGAGGGGACAAGGTGGTGCAGCCCAAGGCAGGGCTGTGCAAATTCTCTAATTAAACGAGCTGTTAACGGTCTCTCTCTTGCTCCATGTGAACTGTCGGTCTGTCTGCGGGTGTGGGAGATTTTTTGCCTCTAGAGGCCGCAGCGAGCCCAGGCTCCGGCTGCCAAAAATGGGATCTGCACCCTCTTGGGTCAGAAAGCTTTTGTTCCATCCTAGAGAAATGCACCTCCCTGGAAGGAACTGTGCTTCCAGCTCCTCCTGGCCGCTCCACGGGGGCCTGGGAGAAGGTTGGAGGTCAGGATTAAGTAATGGGGGAGGGATTTTCCCAAGGGATGTGAAGGTGCAGGGATGAAACGTGGGGTTGCTGTGTGTGTGTCACTGGGGGGGGGCAGCCATGGGAGGGACAGTTTGGCTGCTGCTTGGGGCTGGGTGACAATGTGTTCTCCTTGTATGTGTTTTATTCCCTGTGGGATGGCAGGTTACCTGAGAGCACAGCCTTGTCTTCCTGTGCTGATGGGACTTGGGAGGGCAGAAAGTGGGGGGGGGATTTTCAACCTCTTGTCATTTGTGGGCCCTAATATAGCAAATTAGTGCTTCTTGCTCTTTTTAACAACGTGGAGTCTGTGTTCAGAGTTTCACAGTCACTTTGTGGCAGGTTGGGATCTCCTGAGGATAAGAAAAGGACTTGGGTTTTATCTCTTCACTCCTGCCTTGGTTTTGACCAAGGAGATGAAGATGTGTTGGTTGAGCTTCTCCTGATCCCAGAGTCTAAATATAATAAAGCCTTGTTGCAAAACAAATGATTTCTCAAGGCTGGAGAGACAGCATTATTAACCACTGGCTCCACGTGCCCTTGAGCTAACGACCTTCATTAGGAGCTCATGGAAATGTTCCTGTTTCTTGAGCAAATCCAGCGGCTCCCTCAGGCTCTCTGTTGGAGGACGCTCTGGGGGGGTAGTGCCTTGTCTTCTCAGGGTGACACTGCAGGGCTGGCACTGACCTTTGTCCACGAGGGATTCCAGCCCTTCCTGGAGGACCCCGCTGTAAATATAGATTGGCTCAGGTGAAACTTTGTCCTTTGGCCTTCCATGTGTATTTGCTGATTGAGAGTTACTGAGTACCCTCCTCTCCAGAGGAAATGGCCCATCTCCCTCCTGTGCACTGAGCTGCTGTGAGCTCTGTGTCCAGAGCAGATGCTTAATCCTCAGGAATCCCTTGCTCTTTTTCTTGATAATTTCTCCTTTGTCTGAAAATCCCTCTCTGTCCTCATACGTCCTTTCCAGGGAAACAACCTCTTCCCTTCCAGCAAACTGGAAATGACACCGGGGAACCGAAAGCAGTTGACTTCTTTCTCTTGAAAGCACATGACTGGGGAGAAAGGGTTTGGAAGTAAACAGGGCTGGTTTTGTCAGCAGCCTGCAGTCCCCTGGGATTCCCAGATGGCCCTGGCTTTGTCTCTGGCTTTCCTGTGGAAGGGCAGCCCCGATGTCAGCACGCTAGGAGGTCGGGATAGCCTTTGGGATGGGATTCCTGTGCTCCAGGGAGGGGGAATGTGTGTGTTAGAGCTGCCCTGGCGTCTCAGTGACTGTCAAGACATTCTGAGTAGAAGCAGCTTTTATCTTGAGAGCGTCAGAGAGAGCTGCAGCTTCTTCCCTGCTGCCATAATGGCAGGGAAGGGTTCCCAGCCACTTGGCATGCCTGGATTTGGTCAGGGTTTTACTCTACAGCAAGAACAAGACGTTCCTCCGCTCTCCATTCCTTTCCTCCCTTGTGCTCCCTTTGCATCCAGCTCACCAGCCTCTTTCTGCCTTAAGCCATGCTTCATTTTGTTTGGTTTGTTTTTCTTTTTTTTTTTTTTCCCCCTAAATATTTTTTTTTCTCTTTGTTCCCATTTATTCCAGCTGAGTGACTCCGTGAACCAGATGAGACACCACCAAACGCTGCACACTCTGCTACATCACCCATTGCAGCCTTCCCTTGGGGTGCAGGGAGGGCAGCTGGGAGTAGGGAGGGGGTTATGATTGATGGGAGGGAGGGGGGAAAGGAGGTGGTAAACAAGGGGTTTGGGGGGGCTGATTTGGTAGGGTTTCGGATGGATTTCTTATTCGGCAGAATCATTGTGAAGAAGAGGCGGCCTTCCCCTTAGAAATCATGTTGGGGGAGGCAAAACAAGAGAGGGAAACGCCTCTCCTGGATCAGCTGCAGGTCCTTGACCTGTTGGAGGGTAGGGTTAGGTGCTATTCCAGGCTTCTCCAGGACTTTCAGGGCTTGTCTCGTGGGCTCTTGGTACCCTGAGGCCGCTGAAAGGTTTGCTGTGATTTTCCTGAAGTCGCTTCCTGTCAGTGAGGACCAAAACGAAACAAATGATGCATCGTGTCTGAAATGGAAAGGAGAAAGAGATGCCATGGGTTTTTTCCTGGAAGTTTTGTTTTTCTTGTTCTGCTGCATTCCTAAACCCTGGCACAGAGACTTCTCAGGGATTCTCTGCTGCTGAAGAGGGGCTGTGGTTTTAGTCCAAACCTGCCTTACCTGGGTACGGGGTGGCTTTTCTATGATCATGACCAAGCTGGAATTCACACAATGCTGAAGAAATGCAAAAGAGACCTTCCTAATTGCCTGCAAAAATAACGCTTAATTGGGGGGTGAGGGGGGGGTGGTGTTTTTTGCATTTCTTTTTAGATCAAATGGTGCCTTGTCTAACCTCTGAATCAATAATAAAATAACCCCTTTACATTTGTATCTGGTGCTGTGTCCTCTTTGACCTGCAGACAGTGTGGAGGATGAGGAGGCAGATGACAGCATCGACTGACAATTGTGCTGGGTGGATCCTGGGGCCTGATCCTATCTCAAGGATGTTCTGTGCAGCTGAAAATGTGGCTTGTAATTCCTTTTATCTCTTTTTCCTTGCTGAGTGTGTCCAATGCTTTAGATCACCATAGCAATGGTGCCTTTTGCTGGTTCTCTTTCCTGTTCATGCGTGACTCTGAAAGCACTGAGCCCCTCTGTATCCTGTTTTTCTCTCTAGAGCTCCTTGCAGGTATTTCAACTGATGTAATTCCTTTTCTTTCCTCCTCCCTCTGTATCTCCAGTGTGTGGAGGAGCTGATGTTATTTTCTTGTCTCTTCCTGCAGCAACTGGAAGCCACGTGTTCTGTTTCTGCTCATTTGCTTTCTGCCTTTCAGACCTCCTTGCATCCCTTCCTCCACCAGTGCCTCTCTAAATTCACAAGGGTGAAAAAAAAATCTGTCCTATTGCAGGGAATGAGAGCATTTCCTGCTCTCCCTTTCTCCTGCCTCCCCAGGGACCCTGACCCACAGGTATCCCACAGGAGGCTGCTCTTGGTGTGCTGAAGGAGAGTTGTTTATCCACGCTCCTCGCAGCCCTGCTGGTGTTCAGGGCTTTGGTTCAGGCACCGTGGCCCAGCACCAGAAAGGGTTGGGCTGCCTATGCCCATTTCCTCCCGAAATTACTGCTTTTCCAGCATAATTGGGCTCTCCTGCTCCTCCGCCATTCAGTCTCTGTGCTCAGGTGTCTTCATTACCTCTCTGTACCTCCCATTGCCACTCTCCCTCTTTTGAAGCCAAGCTTGTGCCTCCCTGGCGTTTGTGGCGTTCTTCCCTTGTTCCTTTTGATGGTGGATGTTAAACTGCTCTCTTCCTGGTTGTTTGGGATCGTGTCCTCTGCTCCCTGCCTGCTGTTTCAAAAACCTGTTCTGCCTGCTCCTCCTGGCTTTCTGGTCCGTGGGATGGAGGTGCCTTGCTGCTCCTCTGAGGTGATCCTTTCCTGAGTGTGGAGTGGGAAATGGATTGCTGGGATGCTGTGGAGTTGGATCTGTGCTGTGACCCGTCTCTCTCACGCTGACCTTGAATGTTTTCCACAGCACAAGATGCTCTGCAGGTGCTGTAAATTCCTTCTGCTCAACCATTTCGTTCCAGCAAGCTGCTTATCAGGCACTCTTTTGAAAACTGTGTTCATATTTCATACACACAATTATTCAGCAGCTATAAAAGGGGAAAATTCCTATTTATAGCACAAGGACCAGCATCAAATAGGACACTGAATTCTCACTGATAGAGGAAGTGACCTGTTCTCTAATGCAGCAGTATTTCTGCTGAAAAGAAACAGCATCTTGGATGGGGGGAGGGATGAAAGCCCTGGGCCATCTCTTTCCATTAAAAATGTGCTGCAGACCTAAAAATGCATCTGCCCTTCTCCCTTCCCAACGAAACCTTCGGCGACGGGAATTGCAGGAGAACCTTTCACTGTGGGTTTGTGGTTAGTGGTAATGAGCCCACCGACTCCTGACGGTCTGGTTTGGAGCTGGTTTAAAGTTTCTGATCGTTACCTGATCTCTGACCTTGACCTGGGAGCGAGGAGGAGTCACTGCAGAGATTTCTGCTGCGGGCAGTGGCTCAGATCCTGGTCTGGGGGGAGTCACCATGCACTTGGCACAGCCCTGAACCAGCGAGCACATGGGGCTGAGGAACAAAAAACAGGCTGGGAGCAGTGAAGGGAGGGGGTGGAAAGGTGGGAAGAGCTCAGGGGGCACGGGTGGAACTGTGGACAAGGCGAGAGCCTGTTTGCTCTGAGCGTGCTTCCCGTGACTGCCCCTGCTCCCCCAGGCATATTGGGCCAAGGCCATCACTGGCCGTTCCCTGCTGCTGCCCCCCCTGCCCTTCCCGCGATCTCTTGAGGAAGAGCTGCAGTGGGTGATACCAAGCGAGGCCCTGGGAGGTGGAGGACCGGAGGATGGGATTCCCCTCCTGTCGCTGTGGCAACCGCTGGGCAGGGAAAGCAGCAGTGGGATGCGATGGGTGCGCTGGGGAGGCTGCGGGGGCCGGGCTGCGCTGACATCACGCAGGGAGGTGGTGCAGAGGGAAGGGGAGTGGGAAAGGGAGAGCGGGGAGACTGCGGAGGGGAGAGCGCTGCACCGGGAGTGGGCTCCGGGGGACAGGTAAGAGATGCTCCGGGGCAGCGGGGCAGGGTGGGCTCCGCGAGAGGCTGCAAGACCAGCGCCTGCCTCGGCAGCGCTCTGGGTGATGTGCTGCGGGATGTCTCCTGGGAAGCAGGAACGTTACACAATGCCCGGACAGCCTGGCACAGCAGGGCTTGGCTCTCGGACAGCGAGACCAGGTCAGAGCCCGGCTGGCTGGTGCAGGAACTGGTGCAAATGCTTCCCCCTCAGGATACCAGCGTGTGTCACTGGCACTGTGCTGGGAAGAGCCAGGAGTACCTGAGCCTCCAGAACAGGCTGAAGGGACGGGGGAGCAGCCCTGGTCCCTCTCTAGGAAAGGGGAGCAGAGTTCTCCTGAGGGATTAGAGCACAGGTCATTGATGAAATGAATCAGAAGTTTGGAGGCCTTGTCCCCTGAGCTACATCTGTCTTAGAGGAGGCTGTAAGGGGAGCTGGAGCAGTGGGACCGATCCCAGAAGCGCAGTTGGGGTGGGAATCCCAAAGTGTACATCTCCAGCAGCCTCAGCACTTACCCTGCCTTGTGCAGCAAGCAGGACCTCTGGGGAAGGCAGTCAGGGGCATGGCCATTGCCAGGAGCTCTCTGGATGTGGGTCCTGGGGATCTGCAGACCTGGAAGGCGAAATAACGAAGTCTTTGAGACCTCTCTGGATGTCGTGTTGCCTTTTAGCACAGCGGTTGCATAACGGGATCCGATCTGCTGGTGGAGGGAGCAAGGGTGACGGTCACCTCTGTGCCCTGCAGCAGCCCAGCAGTGCCAACCCCCCCTCCCCGGGAGGAATTTCATCTTTCTTCCTAATCCAAGAGTTCCTTAATGCTCGAAAAAGCTGGTGGGCTCACCAGCTCCGCTTCCACGCGATGTAGGGACTCCACGCCTACATGCAGCATTAGCAAACTAGAAAGTGAGTTTGGTAGCACCCACTCATCTGTGCCAACCTGATTTGGGCCTGTTAGGATCCTCAGTGTGCATCTGGCTGAGGAAAGTACATTTGGGGTCAAAAGCCCATTGTTGGTAACCCCTGTTGGTGTCAGAAACCGGGACTGGGGTGGAGATGGAAGAGGCACAAAGTAAAAACCCTGTTTGAAATCCACAGGGAGAGGCCACTGCTCCTGTCCCAACCATTTTGTTGAAATAACACATTTTTTGGAGTCATTTGAAGGGCTGGGGGGGCAGCGGTGGGGCCGTGGAGAAATGCATCCAGGAGTGCTGGAGAGCCTGTGGGAGAGCACAGCTGCAGTAATGAGCCCACATAGGCTTTAATTAGGGAAGCAATTGCTGCGCGATGCACGATCCTTGCCCACGAAGGCACCACCGGCGCTGGGTCTATAAAGGCAACGCTTGGGAGTGGCTCAGGTGGCCACGGTGCTGCTTGTGGTGTGGAAACTGCAAACAGCACCAGCCTGTGCGGCTCTGTGGGGCTTCTGCGGGAGCCAGGGGTCGGAGCCCCACGCGTGGAGGGTGCCAGGCAGTGCTGTCACCCCCGGGGCGGCGTGGCCAGCTGTGCCCTGTGCCTCTGGCGTGGGCAGGCAGGGAGGAGAGGGCCCATCAGCAGCTCTGTGCCAACCCTCAGCACCACGCAGGGCAGCTGTGCTGGGAGGGAGCCAGCCCGGGATAGGCCCTGGCATTCCAAGCAGGACCTCGCCGGGCACGGCCGGAGCCAGGCTCTCAGGGCCAGGTTGGGGAGGGTGCAGGGAGGAGTCAGCGCTGCTGCTCTGCAGTTTCAGTCCCTGAGGTTGTGGTTCTGCACGGCCGGCAGTGGGACTGCTTTCAAAGTCGTGTTTCAACTTGATTTTTTTTTTTTTTTTTCCTCAAGGCTATTCAAAATTTAGTGGGGGAATGGCACCAGAATCTCCTATGAGCGGGAGGGCCAAGTCAACCCTCCCAGTCCTTGACTTTCTCCGTGGCTCAGCTGGCTCTCTTTGCTTTCCCCCATAGTTGCCTACACTGCAAAAGGGATGATCATGTGAATATTACATAGTCTGGCATCTGCACATCAGCTGCAGCAGCTGAGGCTCTGACATGCTCCCAGTGCCTCCATGTGACCCCCTTTCACAGCCATGCTCTTACCTGTGCATTCGGTCCCTATCACAGCCTGTCACTGCCAGACACACAATAATAATGAAATGCAATAAATGGGAACTTGTGCTCCCTTCTGGGAAAAGAGCTGGGGAGCTCTGAGCCTCTGCAGAGACCTGGAGCGCCAGGAGGAGCTGCCCTTGTGCCAGTGTCCAGAGAAGGCCCTGGGAGCTGAGCCAGGTCCTGTGAGACATTTTAATCCTTCCTAGCCCACAGTCCGTCTTGGCCACGACTCCACTGCAGGGAACATTTTGCCCTTCCCGTGGCTGGGGCACTCACAGGCACCTACCTTGTGTTTGTTTTCACACCTTATCTGGTACCACTGGGAGCAGGCGGGGCAGCAGCTGAGTCAAGGGGAGTGGGAACACACATTCCCACTTCTGCCTGGGCCGCCCTGGAGTCCCCTCGATCCTCTCCCTAAACCCAGGCTGAAATTTCTCTCTGCTGAGGTAGCTGTTTGTTCAGTAGCTGAGGTTACTTGAGTAATCAATAGTTCGCTGCTTCCCAACAGAAATATTATCCCCTTGGCCAAATCAGCTTTCCCAATCAGCTCTTCTATCTTTGCTATAAACCTGCTCCTGGCTCCCAGCTCTGGGAGGATTTAGGTGCATTCCTGACCTACCTGCACAGAGCCCCACTCCTTTTCCTTCCTCCTGCCAGCGTCACTTTTTCTCTCTGAGGTTAAGCACA